AACGGAGAGTGAGAGTCTTTAGCATGTAGACTTCTTTTTATTACAGCAGTTTATTTATTTATTGATATTTTGAGAGTGCCGATTAAGAGTGGTTAATTTTTTGTTATCAATCCCATAATTTAAAATAACAAATTGATCCTAATAACTTATTTTTTTTCTTATTTTAAAATGATTTTTTAAGACATTTTTTTAAAAAACAAACTCAAGGTAGGTCCCTTACTTTTTCTAAGGTAGTTCCTAATTTTTCTACAATATATAATGTAAATGAAATTGAAAATTTAGGTAGGTCCTCGGACTTACCTTGGGCCATACTAGATACGCCCCTGAACCCAAATACATTTACAAAAAACCCAAATCTGACTATGTATCTCATATCCAACATTGATTTGTTGTGTAGTGTGTGTGCATGATGGTGATGCGAATGTTCGTGGATTTGGTAAAGAATGAGGACGGATGCAGGGATTGGTAGTGAATCGATGTTGGTGGCTTTGGTGCGACGTTTGAGGTAGCGGAGGTGAGTGGGCAACATTGTTATTCGTGGTGAAGATGAGGACGACAGCATGTAGTGTTGATTGGAGTGGATGCGGGTTTCTTGAGTGTAGAGAGAGATGGGAACGTGTTATGTAGAAAGAATATGTGTAATTAATATTTAGGATTTAGATGAATCCCATGTAATTTATAGTGTGATGTGTATGATTTATATGTTATGTGATTGGTCCAAATTTATTCACATGGATCACCATTATGTTTTAATCCCAACCATTTATATTTATCAATGGTCAAAATTTAACCTCCTTGTTTTTAAGACTTGGTCTTAAAATTTTTCATCTTCTTATTATATATGTATTATAAAGTAGTATAGATATGTTTTCGATCCTCTTTCTTCACAACTTTGTTATTATATATTTTTTAAATATATAAATAATTTTAGTTGTTTAGATTTTATCTAAAATATTTAAATTACATACATAGTTATATATTTTCATTTTCTACTTTTTATCTAAAAATATTTGAAGCGAAAAACATCATTTTATTACTTTTTAATTTTTATATGATGTAACTTTTATGATTTAACTTTATTTATCTTATACAACTATATTTATTTTTATGAAAAAACATGACGTGTTATTATAAAAATATGTTTTTATAGAAATAATAGTATGTTGTTATTTTATTTTAAAAATATAAGTATGTGGTTTTGAGTTAAAGATAAAAATATGTTTCGGTTGTGATTTCATAATATAAGTACGGTAAATTTTAAATTGATTCGATATAAAATTTTGATATTTAATTTAAAGAAATTATTTAGTTTTATCAAATTTTGAATATATTCCTTAATAAGACATAAAATTTTCAAAGTAAAATTAAAAAAACATTTGTTAGATAATAGTTAACTTCGTTGCTACACATGCTAAAATAACTAACCATATGAATAATATGAAATTAAATTCCGTTTAATTTATTTTATTTAATGAAAATAAATTTTTTAAAGAAATTACTATCATATTATTTTCGTTTAATTCCATTTAATATGACATTAATTATTTTAATTCATTTTATATAAATATAATAAATATTTTTATTTTCTATTAAATAAAATGAATTAAACGAAATTAATGTCATATTGTTCATATGGTTAATTATCTTAGCATTTGTAGTAACATACTTAAGTATTAGCTAACAAACATTTTATTTTATTTTTTTATTTTGCGTTGAAAAGTTTATGTCTTATTAAGGAATATTCAAAAGTCGATAAAACTAAATAATTTTATAAAATTAAATATCAAAAATTTATATCGAAGCTGTGTTCAACAAAAAATTATATCGAATAAATATAAAATTTAGTGTACTTATAGTATGAAATCAAAACCGAAATATATTTATATCTTTAACTCAAAAATTAGAATAACAACATACTATTATTTCTATAATAACCCATTTTTATAATAACACATCATGTTTTTTTTTTCATAAAAATAAATATATTTGTATAAGATAAATGAAGATAAATCTTAAAAATTACATAATATAAGCAAGTTTTACAAAATAACAGAAATAGTAATTATCCAAAATTCTTTCAACTTAACGGATTAATCTAACGGACACTAACGGTAATGATTTTTTGTATGCAATGTTTGCTCTGTAGGGACCATCTCAGGAAAAAAAAGTTTCGTAAGGACCATTTTAGGGGAAAAACTGTAAAACTAAAGGACTATTCGTGTACTTTACTTTAAAAATTGTTGCTAACTTTGTATATTTTTATATAGGGAAATCTCCAGAAAAGTCCTAAAATTTTACCCTAATTTACGAAAAAGTCCCAAACTAAAATTTGTTTACGAAAAAGCATTAATTACCGGTAAAAATGGCGATTTGACCCCTTTTTTCCCGTTTATCAGTTTTATTACTTACCTGTTTCACTAAAGTCTCATTATTTTACCCTAATTTGCGAATGAGTCCCAAAATAAAATTTATTGATGATTTGGCCATTTTCTTCATGTAACATACATTTTATCGGTTTCATTGCTGACTTAGACACCTAGTCATTAAATTAGTTGATCAAATGAATACGATGGGTTATATAATGTCACATTTACTGTAAAATTTGATATCCATCTCATCGGCTCATTTGTGACTATGTATCTACGTCAGGAAGGAAACCAATAAAATGTGTGTTTCTAAGAAAAAAGGGCAGAAAATGAGTTGATGTCTGATGAGATGAGTATATTGGGTTACATAAGATTAGATAAACAATTTGATATTTCTTATAAACGTAAAAAATAATGCAGTTGTTGTTAGTTTATGTAATTATTGTAGTCTTCGTTGGATGCATTTTATGTTCCAAAAAATATACAATACATCAGGATATCAAGTTTTATGCTAAACATAGCATTATATAACTCAACATATCCATCTCATCATCTCATTTAATGACTAGGCGTCTGGGTCAGCAATGAAACCGGCAAAATGTATGTTACATAGAGCAAAGGGCCAAATCATTAGTAAATTTTATTTTGGGACTTATTCGCAAATTAGGGTAAAATAATGGGACTTTAGTGAAACAGATAAGTAATAAAACCGGTAAAAACCGGAAAAAAGGGGTCAAATCGCCATTTTTACCGGTAATTCATGTTTTTTCGTAAACAAATTTTAGTTTGAGATTTTTTTGTAAATTAGGGTAAAATTTTAGGACTTTTCTAGAGATTTTCCCTTTTATATACGTTGGGCGTTGAGGGGGAGGGGCAGCTGCACAGAGCCCAATTTTTTTCGATGCGTAATTTTTTTATTGTATATATAGATATATATATATATATATATATATATATAGATATATATATATATATATATATATATATATAAACTTATAATAGCGATAAGGGTCATTTTCTTCTGATTCGTCCTGTATATTTGAGGTAGGCCTGACAATCGTGTCCTGTTCGGGTTGGCGTGTCGCGGGTTGGCGGGTCAAAATATGCCAACCCAAACACGACCCATTTAAATATACAGGTCACGGGTTGACGGGTTTGGAACATAAACCCATATATGACCCGCCAACCCATTTATTTATACGGGTTCACAGGCTGGCGGGTTCGTGAGTCATATTTGGTTGATGCAAACATATCCGAATTTTAGACACTTAAGTCTTAAACATCCAAATGAAAATTAAAACATTCATAGAACATGTTCAATTCTCCAACACCATTTCGATACCTGATAATTCAAACTAAACATTAATACAAACATAGATAATTCAATTGGTAAAGTAATAGCCACAATTCCCATTTTTTTCTCCCAAAAAACAAAGTCAATTCTGCAACATCATTTCGATACCTGATTTCGATCACAGAGTAACAGAGGGGAGAATGAGACTGTGGGAGATCGGGAGACTGGAAGTCTGGAAGAGGGAGATACGCTCATACGCGATTAGATTTTGAGATTATTATTTAGGGAAAATGGGCAAAATGGTTACAGACTTAGCCTTACAGGTTACAACTTACAAACTTAAACCATCCACCACGAGTCAAAATGTCAAAACAGTCAAATGGTCTATGAATCAATGGTATATATCATATATGACCCGTTTAATAAACGGGTTGGCGGGTCAACCCGTTTATTTTTGAAAATGGTCTATGAATCAATGGTATACATAAATAATTTAAAAATAAAATAATTTTTTTTCTATTAAAAATATAAACGGGTTGGCGGGTCAACCCGTTTATTTTTTTAGAAACCCATATATGACCCGTTTAATAAACGGGTTGGCGGGTTGAAAAACTCAACCCAAACCCATTTATTTTTTGTCGTGTCGCGGGTCGTATCGAGAATTGTTAGCCCTAATTTGAGGATATTTAAATCCTCAGGATCGACCATGTTTATATATGTTATGTTTGCTATGATGTAAACAAAAAGAGCATTTTTGTAATTTAATATTATTGTAATCCATTTCATCTCACATGTTTGCGCACCAAACAAAATATGAAATTGATTCCAATTAAACAAAATATGAAATTGGATTCCAATTCCTGAGAAATTCTAATTCTTTAACAAATTCCAATTACTTCAGAAACATTATGCGAACAAAACGCCACCTTAACGTGAACAATATCGATCAGGAAAGAGACATGAAAGGCTTCAGGTGTCTAATTTCTTAAAGGAACACCACCTCGGGTGTTTAGGGAAGCTAGTGAAAGAGTTTTCTTAGAGTTGTTTTCCCAGAGCTACTCTCTTATTATAATTTTTATTTGTACCTTATGCTAGTTGTATAATGTATGGTAGGTAGGAAAGCTAGAGAAGTTCATTTTCATGTGGCTAAAAAAGGTAGGGGAATTGATGAAAAACAAAAGAAAAATAGTGATGTGATGTAGAAAATTGAATGTCCATAGCCATTAGCTATTGTCCTAAAAAACACACAAAATTAAAAATAAATAAAAAATAAAACATAAATAAATGAAACTAATCTTCATTTCTTCGTTTGGTTGACCTATTCCCTTTAAATTTCTTCCATGGGTCAGGTTACCCAAAATATCACTAAGCAATAATGTACGGACTACTTTTGTAATTTACCATTTATATTTGAAGTTTTTTGTCATTCTATAAATCTTTTCGTCGTTCTATCTCTTCCCCTTCTTCCCCTTCCTGACACAAGCTAGGAATCCAACCACCAATCCGCCCATTATTGGCGATTGGTGGTGGATCACGGCGGAAGTGGTTGAGACATTGATATTGGCTTTTATTCGTACATTGTGTGCTTATAGCTAAAATACATACAATTCCGCCATTGTTTTCCAACATCTCGGTTACCAGGTAACGTTCATGTTTTTTTGATATCTATTCGGCAACCTCATGATTGTTAGCTCACGTCTTCTACCGACGCAAATCCAAAATTTGAAATTGCAATCGACGTTTATTAGTCGACGGAGATCCGTGATTCGTATCAGGAAATCCAATTTAACGTTCAATCATTTGTCATTGCGACTGCGTGATCTTATGTTTTAATATGTGCCTACATTCCATTTCATCTTCATATGTTGTTTGATCTATATTATTATATATGTTAACGCGGAATGCATAAAATCTGAATTGTTAGGTGGAAAGCTTCAAATCAGACGAGAACCAGTTATGAATAACAGCAACGACGAAGTTACGCTAAATGGCGGGAAAATCGAACCGGTGCCTCCTCCATTACCTGGTTCATCAACAACATCCATCAATCCTCCGAAGGGCTGCATAATGAGCAAAAACAGGTCATCATGGATTCGAAGTGATTGTTGCGTCTCTTCACCAACAAATGAATCATGGAATCGTCTCTTTGACGAAGCTTACAGAGCAGATGTTAAGATCTATACAGATAATGACATAATCATCTATGCTCATGCCAATATTCTTGTAAGTTCAATCATAATACAAATTTCGTTAATTTAAAGTTCAACAATCATAATCGATCTCAATTGAATCCATGTTTCTAGGGTTTCACATCTCCTGTTTTCAGAAGCATGTTTACGAAATCAAAAAACAGGCATCGGATCTCAATTCGTGGGGTTCCACCAGAGGCTGTTCGTACCTTCATTCGATTCTTGTACACTTCATGGTATGTAGCAAATAGCAAATAGCAAATAGCAAATAGCAAATAGCAATTAGCAATTAGCAATTAGCAATCCCTTCGAAGGCTTATGTTAATGGGTTGTATTTCAATGTAGCTATGAAGCATCACAAATGGAGAAACACGTACTCTCTCTACTGGTCCTTTCACATGCTTTTGCAGTACCTCAATTGAAACGAGAGTGCGAGTCTCATATTGAACACGGATTTCTGAATGTGGAGAATGTAATCGATGTGTTTCAGCTATCAATGCTATGTGATGCTCCTAGGGTTAGTCTCATCTGCCATCGATTTGTCCTAAAGAACTTCAAACCAGCATCATCTTCTCCAGGATGGAAAGCCATGAGAACTAGTCATCCAAAACTTGAAAAGAAACTTCTCGAATTCATCAGGAATGAAGATCGCGTAAGCATAAACATCCTTTTTGATCTGTGTCACTTTTATTTTCCATCTTTCTGATTTCTGATATATAATTGAGCTGGATTTACAGAGACGAAAACGGAAGGTGAGAAAGATGAAAGAAAGGAAGGTTTATTTACAACTATATGAAGCGATGGAAGCACTAGTTCATATATGCAAAGATGGGTGTAGGACAATAGGCCCACAGGATAAAGCGTTGAAAGAAGATCAAGAACCTTGTAGATATGCAGCTTGCAAAGTGCTTGAATCTCTTCTTCGCCATTTTGCTGGATGCAAATTGAGAGTTTCTGGTGGATGTGGTCATTGCAAACGAATGTGGCAGATTTTGGAGTTACATGCTCGTATATGTGCTGATTCAGAAGGTTGTAAGGTTCCTTTATGTAGGTACGTGTAAAAAAAATGTGACACTAGAAGGTGAGAAGAGATTGTGATTAATGTTGATAACTAAATTGTGAGATTTTGGGAATGAATGCAGGAAAAATAAGCAGAAGATTGCGAAAGAAATGAAGAAGAAAAGAAAGAGGAAGGAGGAGATGAAGTGGAAAATATTGGTGGGGAAAATTTTGAGGACAAAGAGTATTACAGGAGGTCCGCATTTCAAGTTGGCGTGAAATAATATTCATAAAGTTCAAAATAGTTGTCGTTTTGTACATATAATCGTATGCAAGAACAAAGATTAAAGGGTATGATTGTTCTTGTTTGGATTGTACATCGAAATCTTTCATGAATCAACATCAAAATATTTAGGATGAGAAGAATATAAAGAATGTTAGAAATCTAAAATCTTCTGTCATATGGGAACATTGGTATATGCTTTTGTCTGAAATATATTTGCATTTGGTCGGATGATGTTAATTTAAAGTTCGCAACAAACTCGTCCATTAATATTCTTTAATGTTAATGGCAAAAGAAGACTAGGACATATTGGCATATTACTATGTTGGTGAAGGAAATACATATTTTGATATGGTAATAATTAATTAGCGTTTTCTTGTGCAACAATATGAACGGTGGGTGGTACATGTGCTCATCCCTCCCTATTCTAATTCTAATAAATAAATAAGTTTATTCTTCTATTGAAAAGTGTCACAATATTAGAAATCTTCATTAATGTCAACCTATTAATTCTCCGCTTTAAATTTTAAATTTTAAATTTCTCATTTTAATTACATTAAAATTAATAGTTGATTTTTCATTTCAAAATTTAAATTTCATACTCTAATTACATCAAAATAATAACATTAGAATAAAAAATAAAATAAATATATATTATAAGGTGATATAATTTCATGTATTTATTTAAATCAATGATTATAATTTTATATAACTAAAAAATATCTTTTAATTAATAATTTATTTAAAATAATTTATTTGAAATAATTGATTAAAAATTTTAAGTTTTTACTATGAAATTTTAATTAATTTTATAACTGTGGTTCTCACGGGTTATAAACTAGTATGGTAATAATTAATTAGCGTTTTCTTGTGCAACAATATGAACGGTGGGTGGTACATGTGCTCATCCAAACTGGTTTTGGCACGGAAACCGAACAGTTACCAGTTTATGTGAAAACTGATTTTTCCAAAAAGAGATTGGTTTGGTAAGTTTTGATTATTTAGGTCATTTGTAATACATATCACAAACACCTTTGTGGTTGACGTGACCATGAACCACGATCACGAACACCATCCCAATAGTCTATGGTGGCTCGTGGTCGTGATGATTTGTGGTGAGAATGGAGGCCCACGACCTTCTTCTTCTCTCTCTGTCTCTCTCGTGGTTGTCACCGGTACACCAACACTGGTTCGTGGTTCATGATGGTACTCGTGGTTCGTTGTTCGTCCTATATACTACGGATGACCTTAGTATTGTTTTCGAGAATTTATGCATCAAAATTGGCATGGGGCTGATTCGGTGAACTTAACCAAACAAAAAATTGGTTCTTAGATATAGTAAAATAATGTCGTTCAATCGTTCATATATAACTTCTTCAAATTGTTGTTGATACGAGGATTCGGAGGCTACCCAATACCGATTTTTAGGATGAGTTTTACTTGTTGGCTCATTTCTCATGGGGATTGCAATAAAACCAGTTACATAACTACATAAATTCATACATTTCATACCAAACGTTGGTTTCAAATTGGATATTTTTATTTTATTTTGTAGAATAACCAAATCGGTCCGAACCAAGTGACAACCGAAAAAAACTAAGGTGCTGTTTGTTTTTTCTGAGGCAAAATGTCTGCAGTCTGCGGACCACATCTGTAAACCTCTGCAGTAGAAGAGGTGGACCAAACGTCTGCAGTCTGAAAAAAAAAGACTGTTTGTTTTTTTAACATCTGCGGGCTACTAAAATAAACTGAAATCTAAATAAACTGATTTTTTTAAACTTCAAAATGATTTTTTAATATTTTTATGACTTTGTTATAAATAATTAATGAATCTAGATCAACTTTTATGTATTGTTGTATAAAAAATAAAAATAAAAATGGTATGAATTAACGTATATATTTGATAAAAACCAACAACTTTGGTTGCAAAGTTATAACTAAACATTATAATTAGTGATCAAAGAATTTGATACATAAATGGATGAAAATAAACTTTGATTTTTTCAATTAAATCCATTAAAATGTACCATAAATATTTTCTCGACAAATTGACGATACTGTATTAAATAATGTTTTACAAAATTTGGCAAAAAAATATAAAAATATATTATGATTTTTTTTTTCATATTTATATAAACAACTTCAACGACTATTATTGTAATAAATATTTATTTATAAATTTGTCAAAAATATCATGTTTGTATCGTCGAACGTTTTTTTTTAAGTTTTGTAATTTTTTTTTCAAATTGTTTATCATTAATAAAGTTGGAAAAAATATAAATTAAAAAAAAACTTAAAAAAAATAAAGATATATATGTTTTTTTAGGCTAGAAGATGTCTGAAGATGTTAGAAGACTCTGTCCACATCTGCGCCAAGAAGAGGGCGTACAGACATTTTTAGGTCTGCAGTCTTCAAAAAAACAAACAGTCTGCAAAGGCTAATGTCTGCGCGTGGTCTGCATGGCGCAGACAGAAGAGGCCACGCAGATCTGTAGAGAAAAAACAAACACTGCCTAAATACTAATGTACTTATTCATGGAATAAATAAAAAGAAATTTATAAGCTAAAATTAGTATAGTTTAATAATTATTTGGGATTTTGGGCTAATAACCAATTATCAAAATAGAAGGTTGTCATTCATTTCATGCATGCAACTTGCATTTAATGTAATCTCATTTGTTTTTATTATACATATATGAAATCCAATTGTTGTTTTATGTTGCTAATCATTTACTTAGTAGAAAAGTTTTTAGTAATGTTTATTATGATGATAGTTCGACAAATTAGCATTTTTATTTTATATTGGACAGTAGATTCATTCATGCGATCTAATTCCATGTGATGGAATCAATCACGTAGTGTGCCACCTATTGACCAACATCATGTCATTCAATGGATTGTGAATTATCAAATGTTGCGATTGTTATTAGAGGGTTAGAAATGTAAATAGTTTTATTAGAAGGGTTAAAGTGTAATTATTTATAAAGTAGTTATGGTAGTTAGACGATCTCTTTTCTCATGTACATGTACTATGATTCTTTCGAATGCAATTTGAGAAGTTTCATTTCTTTATTCTATTGTTTGATATGGTATCAAAGAGATTAGCTTGTTTTCGTTTAATTTTTGATTGGTTTTTACTCAATTCTTGTTTGATTCTCCAATCTGTTCTTTTTTATTTCTACAATGGATTCGTCATGTTTAGATCTCAGCCTGAAAGTTTTCAAAATTAGAATATCTCACCGATCGATGATGTAACGCCCGGTTCCTGGTATGTATTTTAAATCAATTTATTCATTTGTGTACAGGAACTCGACGAGTTGGAGGCCCCAAACTCGTCGAGTAGGAAAGGATTTTGGACGCGGAACTTAAAGTCTACTCGACGAGTGGAGAGACTCAACTCGACGAGTAGGGCTGCCAGAATGAAACCCTAATTTTCAGGGTTTAGCACCCTATTTAAACACCTTAACCTCCAAAGGTTGGCCTCATTTACACCCTCCATCATCCCAAACCCTAGTCACGAAACCCTAATACGTTTTTGAGAGTTTTGAGCCATTTTGGTGGTTTCTTGAGGTTTGGAAGAAGAAGGGACTTGAAGAAGGAGCAAGGAAGTGAAGGGGAAGAGTAGATCCAAAAGTTGAGCTCCATTTCTGGTTCATTGGAGGTATAAAGCTCCTATCTTGTCTATTAAATATTTAGATCTAGTTTTGGAGTGATTTCCTTATGTCTTGGTCCAAGATTGTTAGCTTTTGAGACTTGGATGTCATAAGTAATTACTCTTTCAGATATGTGGTCTAGAAGGACTTTCATGGCATAAATGTGCAAACTTTATGGCCATGGAAGTCTCATGCAAGCTTTAGGATGCCATTTTTTCATTTTAAGCTCCAAAAGGACATGTATGGAGAGAAAGTAAGGGAATTTATATACGTGTTCAAATGGTATCTAGGGTCTAGATCTCAGTTTTTATGCTTTAGTTTGAAGTATTGTGGCTTTTGGATCAAGATCTAGGCCTTAAAGAATTAGGGTTTGAGCTAAACCCATTAAGTAGGGATATTAACGGGTAAAGTTGGAAGTTTTACCCTTAAAAGGACACTTTCAGTATGTAGATGAAGTATGGGGCTTAAATCTGAAGGATAAGAGCTTAATCTATTAAGATGACTCATCAGACTGAAGAACTCGTCGAGTCCATAGAGGAACTCGACGAGTTGGGTCGAAGTACCCCGAGTCTGTAAAGGGCAAATCTCGACGAGTTGATTGAAGAAGTCTCGATTCTATGGATAAGGAGGAACTCAACGAGTTGTGAAAGAACTCGACGAGTTGGATCGCGATTAAGGGTTCCTGATTTATGGAACCTGACGAGTTGATGGACCAACTAAGCGAGTTGAGTCAACCAGGATGTTGACTTTGACCAGAATGTTGACTTTGACCAGGGTTGACCCTTAAGGGGGTTATGAGTATGAAAAGGTAATTAAAGGAGATCTTTATGTGTAGGAGTTTGAGGGGAGTTGATTCCAGAGCCGAGGACAGTTCAGCTAATTCACGACATTTGAGGTGAGTTACCTTCCAGTAGAAGTGGGTCTAAGGCACCAATGCCGGCCCACTAGTAGGTGATTATGGTTGAGATGAATGTCTTTGTGATAATTGTCTGGTATGCTACTATCTGTTATGCTTTATGTGCTAGTATGATAGAATATTATGTGATAGTAGTAGGAGGGGTGAAATAGTCCCCAGTTACCGGTTGAAAGAGACCGAATGGGTAGACAGTACCCATATATGCCTAGCAGTATGTTTATGATATGTTATTATGTGGTAGTGGTAGGGGTGAAATAGTCCCCATAACCGATTGAGATAAACCGGAGGGTAGGTCGGGTACCCATATATGCCTGACAGGGGTAGGTCGGACACCCCGGTATGTCTGACAGGGGTAGGTTGGGCATCCCGGTATGCCTAACAGGGGTAGGTTGAGCACCCCGATATGCTCAGTAGGGTAGGACGGGCACCCAGATATGTCTGAAAAGATGTTTATTGTATGGTATGTGGTATGATGGGGGAACTCACAAAGCTTCGTGCTTACGATTTAATGTTTTGGTTTCAGGTACTTCTTCATCGAAGGGAAATGAGCCGACATGACTGCAGCGCATGACACAACTGATTTTCCGCACATGAGATTCTTGGGATTTGTACTCTGACATTATTATATTATGACATGTTTTGAGATATATTACTTATGGGTTTTTATGAAATGAAATAACTTGATG